GAGAGAGAGAGAGAAGGAGGGAATATCGTGGGACGTTATCGCGTGACGAATAAAAAAAAAGAAAAAAAGAAGGAGGAACGGTGGGCGCCCTATATTCAACATCTCTGTCGTCTATCTCTCCTTCTCTTCTTCAATGGTCCTAATTAGGTACATACAGTGTATACACATAAGGCTGTATTGCGACATACCAGTACCGTTCCAACTGGAAACCATATGCGACGAGGGGTTAAGTGTCGTCTTAACCTCCTTTCGGTATCTCAAATTCCTAAATCGACACCGATATCCATCTAAAAATCAACTTTACCTTATTTCTCCCGCTTCGTTTCCTCCTGATCCGATATTCATCCGTAGCTTCGATTCCAATAATCGTTCCAACTTTCCTTCATACGAACGAACGAACGAAATTGCGATAATCGCGAATTGGCGCGATAGAAGACACACACATATATATATATATATATATATACACACCAGCATTTGGTATACGTATATACATTGTTTCAATTCAAACAAGCGTAAGCGAAAACTTTTCATTTCGTTCCACTTTTCGTTTTGCCCATAAATCAACCAAGTTTCCCCCCCCCCTTTTCTTTTCTTTCCCCCCCGCCGTTTCTTCGAAGTTATTAGAAAGTATGGTAACGATACTATCGTAGCGTAACCTGTCACCCTTGACCCTTGACGATTAGCTACACTCCACCTTCGAAGAATATGTCGAATATGTAAATTATTATTCGAAGATGTAAATTCACATATGGTGGTCCCGGTCGTAAATACGCCACGCGGCCATATGTCAAATTTTTCGTAACAACACGAGACGCAACAAGGAGACTCGTACAACAAGGAGCCGAATATCGAAAGAGAACACGGTAAATTTCCATCTATGGTATGTATAGATGATATTAATAATTAATCCTCTTTCGTCCCCTCCCTCCCCGCCCTCCCCAATTACGAACACCAACCATTCATTCGTAATAATAATAATATCGCGATATATTCGTTAATTAAGAATTAGGAATTAGGAGTTTAACGCGTGCGTGTTTCGCGTGATGTATCGCGCGGAATATTGTACAAGGAATTGAAAATGTGGCCGAGAGAGCGGATCGAGAGAAGAAATTGAGAGCACATCCCTGATCTTAATTATAACATTGTGGCGATAGTGGCGGAAGGCGGAGAGAAGCGCGCGAGTGGGTTTTCGAGTATGAAAGGATCGTTGTGCCGTATACATCTAACGGGGAGCGGACACGAGGCTTAAAGGCGAGGCAAGGGCTTGGCTCTAAGCTGAGAAGTCGGTTTGTCCGACGTCGAACGACGTTGCTAGCCGTTTCTCAACCCTTTCGTGGTTACGTCACGTTAAAAAAGCTATTTGGGGTCAACACCCCGCTGCAGCGACACGTGTAGTACTCCTCGACTCTGTCTCTCCTCGCCTCCCCCCTCCTCCTCCTCCTCCCTCCACCCTCTTCTCCCCCGTCCTCTTTTCCCTGTGTGTATATGAAGGCAGCCGTCTTCTCTCTACTGCCTACTCCTCGCGGCTCTGGACGCCATTGCTGCCACCTCCTCCCGATAGCAGTATCCCTTCTACTCGTCTTAGTTTCCACTGGATTTCTAAGTTCCCTAGATACTACCATTGCCTAGCCCGTATTCTAGCCGCGAATCGAGCAACGACGACGCGTTCCACAACGCGAACCGTTTCACCAGCGGCGGCGAATCGTCGCCGGCTATCTTAGCCCGAGCCTGACGGTTCAAGGCTGTCGAAGATCACGAGTCGACACCCTATTTATTCGTAAATTACACCACGACGCGGTGGTATTAGGTCGAAGATTTTTGTAAACGATAAAAAAAAGAGATAGAGATAGCGGGAGATCGCTGGTTGTTTTACGACGAGAAAGGCAATATCCGTAGATACGCTCCTGCGTATTATAAATTAAGGAAAAACCGTGATTCCGATGATAAGATAAGGTATATCGGTCGCGGCGGTGAGAGAAAAAGCGAAGAGTTGCGCGGAGATACGTAAGATACGTTGTTTTTTTCAGAGATAAACGAAATCGATCGTAGATCTTAAAGGAGAAATTTATTTTCGATGTATACGCGTCCTCCACCTCGTGGAGGAGCGCGAGGAGCGGATACGATGGAGGCCGTGAGATTAGAATGGACTAATATGCAGCCCCGAGCGATACAGCCCTGGCCGTGGGCGCGCGAGCGAGTAGGAGAGCCAACAGAATTTCTCGAAACTCTACGCGTCGACGTAGTGGAACTAGCGCGCTAGTCTTCTTGCTAGAACGAAACCAAGGACGCTAAACGAACGACGCAGAGAGACGAAGAAGAAGAAGAGGAAGAAAAGAAGAAGCAATAACAGCAGCGGCAGCTACGGTGGCGTAGCTACTACGATGGTGGTGAGAGTGGCGGCGGTAACGGTGGCGGCAACTAGCAGAGAAATCGAACGATCGTATAGCGGCGTCGGCGAAGCAGAGTCGTCGAATCATCGTGGCGGCGTCGTCGACGACGACGACGACGACGACGACAACAACGACGACGACAGCGGTGGCGGTGGCGGCGGTGGCAGCGGCGGTGGTGGTGGTGGTGGCGGCGGCGGTGACGGCGGCGATAGCTCCCCTTTACCCCGACCCACGTTGTCTACGTGTATGTCTCTACCTCTCTACCCCGTCACCGCTGGTACCGTCCCCGCCGTGCCTACCGCCCCCACCCCAGCTCCGCCACCGACAGACGATCCCTCCGTTCCCGCGTGCTCCGTTCTCCCCTGCCCGACTCTCAGACTCTCCGGAGCTTCCCCTTCCAGCGACTTTTTTTGTCCGTATACGCCTCGTCCATCGCGACAAGGCAGCTTCCAAGCCTTTTTATCAGTCGACCGAAAAGATCCGTGAGGATCCTTCCGCGGCAGCGCCCCGCGCATCGCTTCTAACCAACCCTCGTGCGTTGGATTACCTCGTGTGCACGCTTATATATATTTCTCGTTTTCGACCAAGTACCAGCCGAATTTATTTTCGTTCACTCGACTTGGCGCGTTTCGCTTATTACGTTTGAAGGGAGTTTAAAGATAAAAGCGCGGGAAAGCGATCAGTGACTCGAATCTTTTCGATCGTATCGTATCGATAAAGATAGTGAGCGCTAATAAGAGTTACCGATAATGAAGTCGTTCGTCCGACGTTGTTGCAATGGTGTAGTATACGCGTGTCGGGGTAAACGTGTCAAGGTGCCGTCAGCGTAGCGCAACGATTCCGGTGACGACACGCAAGCAACCAACACACGTTGATCCAACGAGGAAATCGGACGAAGGTGCGTTTATTTCCATGGCAACGTGACGACGCACGGATTCTTGTCCACGGATTCGCACGACAAGCCTCGAGGAACGAAGCGGAAGCTGAACCAGCGACAAACAACTACCAGGATACGCAAATGTGGTTGGTACTCGTACATTTGCAGCTCGCAAGTTGAGAAACAGCCTCGTGGCGGAGAAGCGGTTGTCTCGCTCTATCTTACGCCGCTGCTTGGCGAGTCGGTACAGAAAAAAGTGCGCAGACGCAAATCGCGGTTGCGTGTGTAACTCGCAACGCGACTCCTCCACGGGTATTTTAACACGTTCGTCAATTTCTTTTCGTCCTCTTGATACACGTTCAACCCCCCGATTTCACCGATATATTTTTCTACTTGATTCGTTTCTCTAAAATGAAACTCAATCCTTGATTGTGTACTTTCGTTCTTTAATCGTAGGGGGTGTATCGATATCTTTAACGAATTTATTAACGAATACCGATCATAATAGCTTCGTATTATTTTTCCTTCTTTTTTTCTCTTCTCCTTCTTTCGAACACGTTCAAATCATTTGAATAACGAATAAGAAAAAATTAATAATAAAAGTAAATTGCAGAAAGGATTTATATATATATATATATATATATGCACACACACATACACACACACACACATACATATATATATATATACATGTACGATATATGTATATCGCGTCACGAGTCCATAACGTAATCCATATGGCTCTATTTTAAAAACTTGAACAGAAACTCGGTGCCCCTTTAACCCGCATTTTCCTTTATCAAAATAATACGAGAAGCGATAAGCGACTGTCGCAACCGCTGGAACCGCACATGACGTCGTCAATGGGTAACAAGTTTGCGAGTAGTTGCACGAGCTCGTGGTGACTTTGCCAGAACGAGTGCGCAGTAACGCGATGTAAGAAGTAGCTAGGAGGTAGAGAGGGAGAGGGTGTGTTCGAGAAAGAAGCCCGAGGAACGAGGGCGTATAAGCAAGGGGAGGTGGCAGGTTTAAGGAAAGGTAGAGAGAAGGAGAAGTTGGTCACAACCGTGAGAACAAAGGGGCGAAAATAAGTGCCCTTTTTGGAGGTGATCGAGGGTGAGGAGCAAGAAAGAGGAAGACGAATCGGGGGAATGCGTTTGTGTAGGTTTCGAAGGAGATAAAAAGAGTGGATGACTGTTAGGAGGAAAGAGAAAGAAGTCAGGCGATTCGTTCCTTGCGGGTTAAGGAAAGAGTGGGAGAATCGGAGCGAGAGAGAGAGAGAGAGAGAGAGAGAGAGAGAGAGGAGAGGATAAGAGAGGAAACAGA